CTTATATATANTATATATATACATATGAATAATTTGTTAAATAAACGATTACTGAAAAATAATATTACTTTATTTTTAAGGCAGTGAACTATTGTGTGAGTTTAATCAAACTGTTTTGCTGGTTTTATTTTAAGCGAGAAGCAAATTGATATTTCGGACGAAAAATGTGTAATTTGAAGGAATTATAAAAGTTGGCATAAACAATCAAAAATAAATATAACCAAATAAATTATGTTTTATGTGAAAAAAATGATTGTTATAGAGTGCGGTACATAATAATTTTAAATTACCAAATTTTATACGTTCGTAAATTTTATCTATAGGTCTAGAAGTAGCTTCAAATTTCATAATGTCAGAGGGGAGCTTGTTGAAAAGAAAAAAGAAAAACGTTTCAAACAAAGACTGTGCACACTCCAATTTACCTACAAAGTAGGAGATTGGGAAGGGTGATTTGAAAAGAGGCTCTGACTATTGTAGGCAGAGGTTGAAGTGTATGAAAGTACCCTTGATGTGTGAGGGGAGCGTGTCATTGTCAAAAGGGAAAAAATGCATATTCACATACGCCTCCGGGCTACCGCCCCTCACCGACACACCGGCGGGAGTTGTACGAATTGCAAATTGGACAGTTTTTGAATTTCCCACTATTGACATTCAACTGCAAATCCGGGCCCTCGAGAGTCGAAACATTTCAAAAAAATTCACAACTTGATCCAAGGGTTTGTAACCGGAAGAAAATTGATGACTACCACAAATGAAAAACGTCAATATCGAGTTTGAAATTACAATTTTGGTACATTTTCAGAACTACATTGTCGATTAATTATCGGTGGTTATATATAAGTATTTTTAATGATTAAATTAAATTTATTAAATTCACTAATTTCGTGGTCCGCTTGACCAATTAATATATTACAATTAATTAAGGCTTTTAGTTGAGATAAAAAAGTCGATGGCACGAGCGGGATTCGAACCCTCCATCTTCGGCTAGATATGCCGCTGCTCTACCACTTGAGCTAACGTGACTTCGATCCACTCGGACACTAACTTCCCATCTAAACCCCACCTTTTGAATTTTCCCTCCTTTTGCCATTTTTCAAATGTCGTGTAATCGGATTGGATTCTCGGCGACAAATGAAATTAGAATCCCGCTCATGCCATTGACTTTTTTATCTCAACTAAAAACCTTAATTAATTGTAATGTATTAATTGGTCAAGCGGACCACGAAATTAGTGAATTTGGTGATTAAAAATGAAGTATAATTCAATAAAGCTCTCCGTGGCCATTTCAATTGTCGTCGAGAATCCAATCCGATTACACGACATTTGAAAAATGGCAAAAGGAGGGAAAATTCAAAAGGTGGGGTTTAGATGGGAAGTTATTGCCCGAGTGGATCGAGGTCACGATAGCTCAAGTGGTAGAGCAGCGGCGTATCTAGCCGAAGATCGTGGGTTCGAATCCCGTTCGTCCCATTGACTTTTTTATCTCAACTAAAAACCTTAATTAATTGTAATTAAATTTATTATTCAAATAAAGCAAATAAATTATTTACAAGATGAGAGGAATGTGATGGTAAGATGGTGGGTAAAGTAACAATTTTATTGAGAAAAATAAAAATAGCCGTCAATAAATAAGAAATACGTAGCAATATGAATCTAGTCAAAGGTGTGTTGCTTCAAATTTTAAATTTCGAAATAAATTTGGTACATCGCACAACTTTTTCAATCACACGTTCGTTTTTACTATAGTTTCTCTTTTTGAATTGGTATATAATTTTTACTAGCAAGTCAAAAAATTTTTTTTGAGACCGCATCCCTGATCTCGAAATTACTAGTTATATCCTGTAGATAGTATCCTTCCTTCGTTATATGGTCAAGTTGATGGAACATATTTTGTTAATTATAAATCATTAAAAGCAAACTTATTCTATAAAAAGTTCAAATTGAAATTTATTTATAATTATTTTTTCTAGATCCATTCTTCAATTTATGCACGCTATCTAACGCAACTTTTAACATACTAAAGCAGTGCTAAGTTTGCTGACCGTTCGATTTTGATTTAACTTCGTAAGAAGGTAAAAATTGTTTTTATCTTTACTGTTACCTAAACATAGGGTGTTTATAATTTTGTATTGTCATGATGGATGTCAAGGTACCTTTCAAAATAGATGGACAATTGAGCAACGGTTTTTATTCGATAGTTTATTAATGCTAATATAGAGAAATTTTGATAAACAGTTTTCGTTAAAAAAAAAACACCCCTTAAGTCTTGATTAATTTTCTAAATTGAGGATGCACCGCCTTTACAGCACAGGTCGTATAAATAGGGTTTTTTAATGGCCTTTTACTTAATTTTACTTAATTAATTGAAAAAATTAAATTAAGTATTGAAATTTGAGCATTTTTGACGAGAGAATTTAGTTCAGCTGAGTATGCCCTCAGAACTCATTTATTGTATCGAATGTTTTCTGTGATAAGGCTGTTGTAACTGGGCTTGTTTGCCAAGTATAAAAAACGGTGGCTATTAAATATGGTGGTAGTAAACCGAGATTAAAGTTTTCCGTATAAAAATAGTTAAAGTCATATTCAAAACTATGCAAATATAGTAAAATGGCATTCAAAAACAGATTTTAGACAGATCAAATGTCAGAATATGGATTGCGTCAAAGGGGGCCAGAGATCGATAAATACTAAATATTGACATCGCACCAGAAACCGTTATTAAATTACCAATATTAAATCTTTATTAGATGGAAATGATGTCAAATATGATTGGCAAATGCTTTCATGATCACAACGAAATGATCAAACAGGCAACCATCAACATGGGGAGTAAATAAATTTAATTTAATTGTGGATCCGTGACTTTAAAAAAGGATGTCTACAAAATGGAAAACTTTCTTCTCAGGTGCATAATGGTATTTTCCATTAGTCAGGCAGATAGATGTATAAATTTTACGTCTGAAAAGGAAAAAACTGATTTGATGATGACGGTTTCTAGAAAGTGGGGGTCAAGCACTGCCGCCTTGTGGCTTATTTATTGTACTTTCCTAGTTCGTTCGTTCAGTGCAATTGACTCCATTTTTCTCCTGATTCCCGAGTTTTCATTGTATCTTGAATATGAAATGTGTGTTTATTTCTTCCTCCTGATTGTATAACCTATAAACGGGGTCATCATTAAATATGCCCATGTTTAAATGTTTTCTCACATGCCAGTGATCAGTATCTAGTCCTAACCTCTCATTTTAGCCCTTTCTAAAAGCAGCAGAGAATTTTGCCGTCTTGTGTGGATTGTTTTCGTAAGCTTGCTGTGTGTAGCATCTTCAGTTTTCATCCACTTCGAAGAAATGATAAATGGTGGAGTGTCTGTGTTGTTTAATCTTTACAAAACGATAGTTCATACTCAAAGTTGGGTGTTTTCAACGGCCTTATTTCAAGTTTATAACTCATCGTCAGGTTGATGGGGTTACAAACACCTTCTTGACATTAATTGAAAGACTGAACCCGCCGATCCCCCACAACGCGAAGTTACAGTAAGAAGCTGGTTGTTAATGCCACTCAGTTTTCTGTTAAATATTGTATTAATAAATACTGTAAGAAAATAATTATAATTTAGTGATTAATTTGTATGGTTTTTATTAGTTAATAAATATTTATGGTTGACACTCGAGCACCTGCTTTTGGGCCAAAGCCCGCGCAGGTACGTCTTATGCAGAGAAAGTTTGCTCGATGTGTCCCACATAAAGGAGGCGTGGCTACATATATAGAGCATGTAGGTATTCGGCTGGATTTAAGAATGGTTCTCGGAGTATCGAGTTTCAGGGTCAGGCAATTGAAACTTTTTTATTGGATATAGCCTCGAAATATGATTTTTGTGTTTCTGTGTTTTGTGTACGAGTGAGTGTATTTATTAGAGTGAATGGGGAGGGGCTGATGGTGAAATAGAATCCCAATTGCCACTCGCAGTGTGTAAGTGGCTTGGGTCAATACTTATAAATAATATTGTGTGTGACTATTTATAAAAGTACTAACTTCCCATATCAACCCCACCTTTTTGAATTTTCCCTCCTTTTTGCCATTTTCAAATGCCGTGTAAAGGCAAAATCATCAAAATCATCATTCAAATGTTGAAAATGGCAAAAAGGAGGGAAAATTCAAAAAGTTGGGGTTGAGATGGGATGTTAGAGTCAGAGTGGATTGAAGTCACGATAGCTCAAGTGGTAGAGCAGCGTCGGGTTTAGCGAATGTCGTGGGTTCGAATCCCGCTTGTGACACTGACTTTTTATCTCAACCAAAACCTCAATTAATTGAAAAGTATTTATTTGGTCAAGCGGACCACGAAACCTAATCAAATTTATAAAAGTATTTCTCTACCGCTTTGTCCTATATATTTAATGTCGACTTCTTTACAGTTAAGTTGATAAACCACGATTTTTGCTCAGTTGTCAACCTTTTCTTCATATTTTGAGAGAATGTTTCTAAGTGAATACGTAGCTATTCTTCAACTTTTAGGGATGGTTACAACAAAATCTCAATTCTTTAAAAAATTATACATAAAGGAGTATGTATGAAACATTATGGATTCAGTGGTAAGTTATACATACAATCATTTTCAGAATAAATGCTTTCCAACATTTCGCTTTTTCGGTTTCGCGCTTTAAAATAGAATGCATGGTCTACCATAAAACAAAATGGATAACTATCAACCAACGATTCTAAATCATATTCATAATGGGGGCCATGTACACAATGTACTACAATTAGGGGCAGATTATTTCACGTGTTTTGGAAATGGTTAAATAAGTGAGAATGAAATATTTGAATTGATTTTTTAATAAATTTAAAAATGTTCACAACCGAATAAGTTTTCTCTTAATAAAACTGGTGGGTAAAATAAAATATGTAATAACACATAATATGTTAGCAACTCCGTTATTTTCAAGCAAAAACGAAAAGATTTCAAAATGCTATATAACGGTGGTACATTTTGTTTCGTCTTCCAGGTGAAGGGGATCCAGAGTTTGCATTTCCCATAGGCAACCTCACAACGCCAGTCGGCCGGGAAGCTGTGCTGTCTTGCACGGTTGAAAATCTGGGGAAATATAAGGTAAGACATTTTGTTTTATCACAGTGAAAGAAACAGCTATTTATTGAAGAAAAACTCGACATAATAAATGAGAATGTGTTATTCGGCTCATGTTAAGAACAATTTTTATAATAGAGAATAGCAACACACTTTATGCCTTGAAGATGACACGAATATAGGTCGAAACGTCGGCAAAAAAATGAAAAATGTGTTTTCCATTGTTGACCGCTTCTCACAAATCCAACACATTAACAATTTATTAATTCAAATGCTTACAAATTTTATTTGGAAACCTACAAATGTTTGTAACGCTTCTGACATTAATAATACTTACCAGAAAATATAACTACGTCAGTTAAAAGAAAGAAAGCACTTTTATTTCCTAACGAGGTAAAAAATAAATAAATATACAGGGTGAATTGCTACTCGTGCTACAAACTTCTCCAGTAGATTCTTCACCCTAAAATGAACAAAAAAGTTCATATTGTCCATGGTCCGATTCTCAACCATTTCAGAGTAATTTCGCTTTTTATCGATTTTGAAAGATATCACGTCCTGGCGTCGGAAAATCGTGATATCTTTTAATCTAAACATTTCTCTGAAAATCTAATAGCACCGTTGAAATTCCCGTTAATTTTTCAATAAGAAGATGACGGTGGCAAAATGTTTGGGCTAATTTTTTGTGTTTTATTTCAGCCAGAACTACAAAAAGAGTGGAAAATTGTGTAAATCGGAAAGTGTATAAAGTAATCCAGAGTTTCTAATTTTAGTCTCAGAAGGCAGCAAATTTGAGGAAAACTACCTGATTTAATAACGCTTCCAACGCACTCGTCATTTTCTTATTTAGTGGTTGTGAGACCAAGATGTTGATGACAAAAAGAGAAAAAATGGTGGTTCAAGGATTGCTAATGTTTGAGAGTGACTTGCTACTCGTGCTACAAACTTCACCAGTAGATTCTTGACCCTAAAATGAACAAAAAAGTTCATATTGACCATGGTCCGATTCTCAACCATTTCAGAGTAATTTCGCTTTTTATCGATTTTGAAAGATATCACGTCCTGGCGTCGGAAAATCGTGATATCTTTTAATCTAAACATTTCTCTTAAAATCTATAAGCACCGTTGAAATCCCCGTTAATTTTTCAATAAGAAGATGAAGGTGGCAAAACGTTTGGGTCTTTCTTCCTTGACCTTCTAGCTGTTTGTAAACTTCTTAAGCATTACATACTAAATGGGCATTAAATTAAATTAAAAAATTTCAATGGAATTATGATTTTGATTCTCTCTAAAAATTAACGGGGATTTCAACGGTGCTTATAGATTTTAAGAGAAATGTTTAGATTAAAAGATATCACGATTTTCCGACGCCAGGACGTGATATCTTTCAAAATCGATAAAAAGCGAAATTACTCTGAAATGGTTGAGAATCGGACCATGGACAATATGAACTTTTTTGTTCATTTTAGGGTGAAGAATCTACTGGAGAAGTTTGTAGCACGAGTAGCAATTCACCCTGTATTACAAGAATCTTAGCAAGGAAACAATATGACTTGTCCGAAGGAAAAGAATAATTTATAAAGGCGGTTTAACGAAATGGGGGAGCTGTTTTGACGAGGGGCTCTTACCGTGAGGACTTGAGATATTGCCAAGTGAAAGCGGAAAGGGCGGGCTGTACACCCAGGTGTGTTAGGTATAAGGAAAACAACGAGAGCTTAGACCCTTCCCCTCCAGGTTTGCGTAAACAGCTTCAAAACCCCATCATACGATAAATTATTAATTTTTCAGCTCAGTTTAAAAAAAATCCTTCAACGAAAGCAAACCGATAGAGTTTTATAATTAATTAGCTTGCTGAGTATGAAAGGGAACTTAGAAATAAATACACAACATAAAAAATGAACTTGAATTTTATCTTTCTTCAAGTTATAATATTTTAGAAAAATTCTATCAACAATTCATTGCGTAATTAGTAAAAGAGAAAGGCATTTAATACAGGTTACAACAAAAGGTCATTTTTTAAAGGTTACTTCATACGAAATGCATTGCTAGTCATAAAATATTTCCATTTATCGTTCCCTCTCACAGTTTAAAAACGAAATTACGGGATAAATAAATTTATTCTTTTTTTATAAGTGGGTTTATAAATTATTGTAGGACGTTTATACTGCAGTTCTGTCTGAACCTCAGGTAGGCGTGGTATCACGTTTTGCTCTACTTTATATCAATGGTTATATTATATTATTATTAATTAGAATTAAACGATATGTTGCCAAGTAATGGCATTACATGAAATATTTTCTATTTCCTTTATAACACACCGGCCTTTTTTAAATTTAAAAATGTAACCATTTATCAACAATGTTTATAAATATTTATATAATATTTATAAATATATATACAAAATATTTATAAATACAGTTAACGTGACATTTGTTAATATGAGCAAGTACGCACGTCGATTTATTTTAAATATTTCTATAAAACGATTGTTTATCTGGGTCTAAGAAACGACCCGGTTTAAGTTTTAATACTATTTTGTCGTAAAAAATAATTAATGAATTCAAGAATTAAATTTTTTTTATTAACTATTCACTTCAGGAGTTGCCAGCACTTTGCACGCGTGCATGCGGAAAGGGACTTTAATGGTATGCAAAGTGTTTCAAAAAACGGGACATACAAAAAGTGCTCTATGTACTACTCCATTTATCTATTTGTCCTTCATCCCGTCAATCTCTGACAGACACATTTTGCGTTTATTTGGATAGCAGTATACACTATGAGCCATCCAACAAAATTTTTCCCAAGATTAAAGAAATGTCGCTAATTCATCTGTAAACTTTTAACATATGAATTGGAAAGTTTATTAAATGAAAGAAAAAAGGAATATGTAAGTAGATAAAAGAAAAAAAGAGAGGGAGAAACAAAAAAATGGAAATTAAGTGTGAATGAAATGTGTATGTGTGTGTGTGTGTGTGTGTGTGTGTGTGTGTGTGTGTGTGTGTGTGTGTGTNGAGAGAGAGAGAGAGAGAGAGAGAGAGAGAGAGAGAGAGAGAGTATGTATACTGCCGTTCAATTGGGAGCGAAAAACTTAAAGAGCATGAATTAGGATTGCGGTAGCTCTCGCACCGTGTTTTAACAAATAGGACTGATTAGAAATTCAATCCTAATTCAGTTTGAACTATTTACCGCAATCATTACCACCTCCTCTCATGAATTGGGGTTTGTTTTCACATTGATTCGGAGCTCTAGGAAACCAAATAGTGGGAAATGCTTTTGTAAAATAATGTTGTTTGAAAACACTACTGGCATGTGATAAACTAAGTAAAACAGACAAACTGGCAATATGATGCTATGTTCATTGCAAAACATTTTCAATTTTTATATTCAATTTATTTGGCACACTTCAACAACTTTTTTGGTTTGCGAATTACCATTAGAACGGTGTGTTTTTACGGAAGTCAAACTGGATGACAAATATCTATTATTTACGATGTTCCATCATATATGTCTTTCCCTTCTAACTTCATTATTTGTTGTTGGATCAATTTCGGACTTATTAACGTTTGTTGTCGCGTGCGTTTTATTAGAGTATTAACGGCTTCAACAATAAATCTTGTCTTTTATTTTCGAAATAAAACCTCATACATCATACGCAACCACTTCAAGACCGGCCAAATATTTGTTGTGGTCGGGAATTAGAGTATTTTTTATTAATGCAATCCGGAAGGTGGTGTGTTTTTTTTTGTGTTAAGTGTTTGACAGTTTCATTATAAAGGAATGATGATGAGTTCTGCGAGTCGGACTTTTTAACCCACACTGGGTTTGCTATTGTGTCCGCTTTTCACCACTGGGGGTTTTTGATCAAAGGAGCGCGTTTCTGTTTTGTCCAATTTCAGTGAAGAACGTCAATCCTTTTTTTAACACGCAACAGCATTATGTGTTATCGGGGCTGTCGGCTAGGAGCGTTGACGGTTCATCCTATGTAGTTTATACATAGACTGCAGACTAACATCGAGATAACACATAGAGATAAGAACTTAGGAAGAAAAGACTTACAATTAGATAAATACTTAGACTTCCCTTTCTAATAGTAATTAAGGAGAAACTTATTATCTACAAGTTTACAATTTTCCCTTATGACTACAGGCATTGCACATGTTAGTACAATTTACGTTAAGCTTTAACAGTACAAAATAATTTATTAATAAACTATTAAAAATCTAAATAACGTATACTATTGGGTTTTACATAATTCGCTTCATTATTACAGTTTTACAAAACAATATTTAAATATCACAATTTGTCGATACAAATGAAATTAGCCAATTTTGTAGACTTGAAGATATTTTTAATTCTGGTTTAAATTTTTAATTAATTAATTTAAGTCTGGTTTAATCCAAATGTACAATACAATACAACAGTGTTTTTTATGAATATTATATGCTTCCTCATCCCAAACTATAGCCTGTCGAATTTTCCTATTTTGGCCATATTTTTAAATGTAATCAAGAGTCGATTTTCGGCGACTTTTCTGGTGGCCACGAAGAACTGTTATAATTGACCTACTTACTTCCGACTAGCTCAAATGGTTAGAACAACGACGTATTTAGCCAACGGCCTTGGGTTCGAGTCCCGCTCGTGACACTAGCTTTCCATCTGATCCTAGTTCTTAAATACAAAGTACAATTAATTAAAATAATTAACACGGTCAACATTGGCTACTAAATACATATATGGGTTACATTAATTTTTGAATAAACTGAACAAATATGATTCATAATGTGTAATTAATATAGGCCCTGATGATGACGCTAAAATGGGTCGAAAGCTAGGTTGAAAAAACTTAATTTTCTTTTTCATAAAGACCTTCATCTGTAGACTTCGTGAGTAGAAAAATGGTCAGTAACATTTGTTACAAAATAAAAACAATTGAAATATGCATGATTTTTTATAGCCACTAAATGAAAGTGACAGAAGTCCAAAAATTCTAAAATACTGGATTATTTAGTTTTTGTTTTGGTATT